CATGGCTCCCTCCGCCGCGGGCGTCCGCACCAGCGCCCCGCGCGGGGGAGGCGGCGCCGGCCGCAGACCCGCGGACGCTCGTCAGTCACGGCCGTCCCCGGGTCGCGGTGACCCGGCGGCTAGGAGGCCTCCGGACTCCGGCGGCCCCGGGTATCTTTCGAGATTTCCTTTGAACCCGACTTCTCCGAACCCTCGGGTTTCTCTTGGCCCAGCCTGTGGCGGCTCTCGCGGCGAGTCCCACTGGGCGAAGCCGTAAGCCCAGGGTCCTTCCCCCTTCCTCGGAGCCGGCTGCCGGGAGCGTCTGCCTCTGCGCCCTGCGCCCCGTGCCCCGAGCTGCTGCGTTTGGCCGCAGGGTGGGCGCGACGTGGGGACCGTCCAGCCTGACGGGCGCGCTGCCCCTCCGCGCTAGTCGCTCCGGCTGAGCGTCGGGAGGGGCCTGTCGCCCCTGACTGCCTTGCCCTTCCTGGGCCGTCAGATCTGCGAAAGTTTGGGGGTGGGTTGTTACTTTCTCCCGCTCGGCGTCTCTCCCCGCCCCACCCCCTGCCCGCCACACGTACGCCGCGTTGATCCAGCCCCTCAATCTCCCCTGCCTTTTGCCTTCCTTCCACCCCTCACCAGGGTCACTCCGCGCCGGGTGGCTTCGTCCGTGCCCAGGGACAGGGATCACAGACTCCCCCTTCTCTGCCCCAGGCTCCGTGTTAATCGATACTCCACCGTGCAGCTTGCTTTAAAGAGAACGCCAGGGCATCTAGCACTTTCTGTCCAGATGAGAGTAACAAACCCGGACGAGATTCCTCCCGGTGCCGGCGTCCCAGCTTTGAAAGTGTGGGGGCGGGGGCGGCGCCGGGAGTCAGTGACGACCCGATTCCTGGGCAACGTTTCCCTGGGCTCCATCTTTCGGGGAGCAGAAAAAACCTTAAAAACCTTGCAGGCCGCAATAATTTCCTCATTTTTCAGAGAAGTAAAATTCAGCTTCACTCTTGAGCTAGTATTTCGAGACCTGACCCACACCTTTTTCTGAAGGAGTTCTCGGGGAGAGGAAGAGTGTGCCTCTCTTTACCATAACACTGATGGGTGGCCACTACCCACGAGTGGTTTTAGAGCCTTTCTCCCATCTTAAGGGCCTTCGGTTGTGGGGGAGGGACTGTGTCCACTTCCTCTAAATTAACGGAGCCTATGCCCCATTGACAGAGAATCAAATGATACCCTTTGTTTCCCGTTTATGGCCAAGAAAATAACTGATATGGTGCACCCAAAATGCTCCCATAGTTCTACAATTATAGGAGCTGGGCGTCTGGGCTCCCCAGCTCCTGGAGCCAAGACTGTCACCCTGAAAAATAGCTGCCAGGAAGGACCTTACGTTTAGGAACAGGAGAAAGACAACGCAGGTAGCTGCTTCTCTGTCCGCAGTCCTGGATCACCGGGGTCGCTCTTTCCAGAGTCTGAGTTAAGGTCGGGGTGCCCCAACCCTCCCTACCCAGCCGCTCGCAGGTAACCCTCTGTTGCTTGCCAAAGCAAGCTCACAGTGCCCCCTTGTGTCCAAGTGCTGAAATATTAAGGCGTTGCCCAAGTCCCAAACTTGTTTTTGTTCCTAGTCACCTTTTTAAAGTAAAGACAGTGTCCTCACACACACCGCTGTGTCTCAATGCTTTGTCATGAAAACCTTTGATCTTCTGGAGGTCGACATTCCAGTAGTTTCAGAATAATTATGCTGCAAGGGAGCACAAGTTCTCAGCAGAGACTTCCTTGGAAGTTGGTATCCTCTGCTAGGCGTCTTCATGTACGTTTAAACATAAGCATTGGATAGTAGTACTGTCTGCTCTATTACAGGAAAAGAAGATTCATCTCGGAAACATTCATTCCTCATGTTTTTACTGAAGAGTAGGGGGTAGAGAAGTATGAAGAGGGAAACCCAGGGCCAGGACTTCCAGCTCCCCAACAGTCGCTAGAGTAACAAGCAGGAAACCTTGAACTAACTGTAAAAGCTGAGTCTTTTACTTACTCTTGGTGTTTTTGTTTTTAGAAGAGAAAGCTTAATGCTCTTGGCTTTATTGCTGTGGTTTTTCCTTCCCAAGTTGTTTGAAAAGTCCAATAACACTACTTAACAGTCCTTTGCTTTCTCAACACAGCCTCTTTCCCTCCGGGAGCTTTGGAGCATTCATTTTGTCTCGTTAATCTTCAGCAAGCCAGAGAGTATTTTTATTTCCATTTTACAATTAGGAAACTGTATTGGAGGAAGATGAATGGCTTGCCCAAGGTCATATGGTAAATCAGGATAGAGACAAGAACAAGCCTGTCTTGTGGATACCTCTCCTCCTCCAGAGGCAGCAGGGATTCTCCCTTATTTGTGTTCAGGGCACTGTCCAATCAGGAATTAAACCATCCTGTAGTCTCCGGAGGGGGTGGCTTTTATGAATTAATCATTTGTTAATCAGTCATAAATACAATATCCTCACCTTTGACCTCTTGCTTCCTCTCTTGCACACTTTTCCAGTGTGTGTTCAAGTCTCTGTGTGAGGCTGGGCGCTGGTATGCCCCTGCAGGTCACATAATGAGCCTTTTAATAGACTTCACCTATTTCTTAAGTCACAAATGCAGAACTTCTGTGATCTACACTCGTCTCTATGAAGGCATTTGGCTATCATCCAGAATGAAAAAGCAAAAATAGTAAACCACACATATCTGTAATCCCAGCACTTGGGAAGGCAGAGGCCAGTGGTTCAAGGCCAGCCTGGTCTACAGAGTGAGTTCAAGACAGCCAAGACTACACAGAGAAACCTAGTCTCAATAAACAAACAAACAAACAAATAAATAAATGATGGGATGAGAGGGATGAGGAATAGATTTTCAGTAACTTGCTGCATGGAGTCCAGATCCTGAGTCCAGGTCCTTCTGCATCTAGCTAAAAGGAGTTAGGCTGGGGTGTAGGTGCGATAATGCCTGTGCTGAAGGGAGGAGGAGGTTTCAGAGACAAGTAGACCCCAGGCACACTCAAGAGCCAAAATGCAGAGGTCCAGGGTTAGTGAGAGAACTTTTCTCAGAAAACGAAGCTGGTAGTGGTCTGGAAGGTGTCGAGATGCTGACTTACAGCCTGCACACGCGCGCACACACACAGTGAGTAACTTTAAAACACAGAGAAGCCCTCGGGAGCTGAGGTCCATCCCATAGCAACTGCAGCACCCAAATTTACATAGAAAAAGTAGACGGACAGGAAAGTCAGGTTTCTTATTGAAGTTCACGGATGTGACAGACCCCAGATCCCTTCCCCACTGGGCTGTGCTCCATTATTGCCTTACTTGGCTATTGTCAAAATCAGGAGAGCAGACACTAAAGCAAAGACCAAGTATAAGGTGTTTCTTCATTAATGGGAACTGGAGGGATTTCACCATACAGAAATTGAGCAGGCAGTTTTTATGTGTTCTCCCATCCAATTACTAACCTAGCCTGACCCAGCTTAGCATCCAAGATCAAACACACAGGGGAGTGTGGCTGTACACCTGCACTGGGAAATTCTGGAAATCATACATTAGCCAGATTTTTGAAATTGAACCTCAACATTCAGAACCCCTTACACACTTTTTTTTTAAAGTGGCTCTCATGCTTCTAATCTTAGCCTTAAAATACCAAGATAATTTACCTCAAGAACCTTGTCAAGTACCTTTACTGTTTATGATGGCTTTATGATACCTTTATGTTTTTGATGGCTGATTCTTTCTCTTTTTCTCATTAAATTTTTTAAAAAGAAACTGTGATGTTTATTTTTTAACACATTGAGGTTTGGACTGTTTTGTGTGATTGATTCTTTGGTTTAACTTGGTTTTGTTTTATGTGCAGCAGCAAGTCCTCATTAAATGAAAATCACTGGAAAAATAGATTGTGGAGAAAGTTTCTATTTAAATACCATCTCAGAACTGTTTTGCAATGATAATAACTATGAAACATGCAAAGTTAGCACTGACATTCTCAGTGTAATTAATGATAATTATATTCAGGTTTTAAAGTCTAAATATCAAAAAGCAGCCTTTTCTGCTCAGTAACTCCATTCAGAGTTGCCAGATGAAAAAATAATTTGTTTTGAAATTTTCCTGGTGTTACATAAGGTTCCATACTATTTTATTTAGAAGATAAATGTTCGTAACTAATGTGTATAAAAATTAAATTCCATTAACATCTATTAAACGTCAGTCCCCTGGGTATCTAGCCTTGTAAAAGTCAAGCACATATAATATTAATCTTAAAATGCTAACTATGTCTTGCGTCTGCTTAAACCACCAGCAGAAAGCATCTAAAAGGGCTGCATGCCACAAGGAGAAGGGGAAATAATGGGCTTGAGTGATGTAGCGGGCAATCTGTTCCTCAGTGGCTGGGACTGAGGTGTGGGGCTGCCAACTTAATTGAGGCTGGGTGGGGGTTTCTGTTAACAGGCCTGGGCTGTAGATGTTCTATTTGTGTGTGACAACATACTTGAGAAAGGGAGCGACAAGGAGCAGTGGGAAGTACCAGCAGGCTGCCATTAGATTATGGCTTGCTGTTATAACAGGCC